TGTAGGGTCATTTTAATGGTTTATGGTTTTTCTAACTGTAGGGTAATTTTAATGGTTTATGGTTCTTCTAACTGTAGGGTAATTTTAATGGTTTATGGTTCTATTTACATAACATTCTATAAAGTACAGGCTATTTCATATATTACTGTCAACTTTGTTAGCTATGTGTAGGTTCTTTAAGTCAGCTTTAAATGTTTCTTGTTTTTTCACATACTTAGATAACATTCTATAAAGTATAGGCTATTTCATATATTATTGTCAACTTTGTTAGCACTGTGTAGGTTCTTTAAGTCAGCTTTAAATGTTTCTTGTTTTTTCACATATTTAGATAACATTCTATAAAGTATAGGCTATTTCATATATCACTGTCAACTTTGTTAGCTATGTGTAGGTTCTTTAAGTCAGATTTAAATGTTTCTTCTTTTTTCACATATTTAGATAACATTCTGAAAAGTACAGGCTATTTCATATATTACTGTCAACTTTGTTAGATATGTGTAGGTTCTTTAAGTCAGATTTAAATGTTTCTTCTTTTTTCACATATTTAGATAACATTCTATAAAGTACAGGCTATTTCATATATTACTGTCAACTTTGTTAGCTATGTGTAGGTTATTTAAGTCAGCTTTAAATGTTTCTTCTTTTTTCACATATTTAGATAACATTCTATAAAGTACAGGCTATTTCATATATTACTGTCAACTTTGTTAGCACTGTGTAGGTTCTTTAAGTCAGCTTTAAATGTTTCTTCTTTTTTCACAAACTCAAACTGCTGGATGCCAGTGCCAACAGGGTCAATGTTTCAATGGGGTCAAATTTGTGTGTGCACTTGCAACAAATAGAGCAGTACACATGCCTTCAAAGGATTACTGGTACTTATGGGCCCCTCTATTGTGGGATCCACAAACACAATAGGATATATGCATTATGAAACAAGATATCTTTACAGCACCTTAATAATACAAGAAAAATCTATTACATAGAACAACAACACTATCTAACAATACAAAAATGCTCTATATAATAGTATATAATAAGCTATTACAATTAAAAATACAAAACAACGAGTACTCTACAGAAATTTATACAGCACTGTTGACTGAAGTACTATACAATACATGAGTACAATAAGTCTAGCTTGTTACTTACTTCAGTAGCATACAGTACATCCAGGATTTTATCTACAAGAGGTGACTTCTCGTTGCTTTGTTCCTCTTCTTGACAAATCACTTCAATATCTCGAAGTTTACCATAGTAAAAATCTCTCTCTCTTTCAAGTCCATCTACTGTTAACTTGAGCTCAGAAACCTTTTAATGTAAGATATCAAGTCAATTCATTATTTATAGTATTACAACCTATTAAAAAACACACTCATAGAAAAACTAACCTAATCAATCCAAAACATTTAACAGTATTATAAGAGTAAATTAGATTTAAGCTCAGTCTGATGAATAATGTAACATTTGAAAACACAACTTGTGATAAAGAAGCAAATAATTTGAATATTGTTATAATTGATTAAATACAGGAAATATCTTTAAAAATTTAAACAATACAAGTTACAAAAAGTCCATTGTCAATTATGGTATTAATATATATATATATACTACACTATGTCTTGTGACTTTCCACAAACAAGACCATAACAATACTTAAACTACATTATGTCTCATATAACCTACCACAAATAATGACATTAAAACATTTCAACTACATTGTCTTTTATAACCTACAAAAAATACCATTAAAACGTTTCAACTACATTGTCTTTTATAACCTACAAAAAATACCATTAAAACGTTTCAACTACATTGTCTTTTATAACCTACAAAAAATACCATTAAAACGTTTCAACTACATTGTCTCTTATAACCTAAAACAAATAATGCCATTAAAATGTTTCAACTACATTATGTGTCTTATAACCTACCACAAATAATGTCATTAATACATTTCAACTACATTGTCTCATAACCTACCACAAATAATGCCATTAATACATTTCAACTACATTATGTGTCTTGTAACCTACCACAAATAATAGCATTAAAACATTTCAACTACATTGTCTCTTGTAACCTACCACAAATATTGTTTAAACTACATTATGTCTCTTATAACCTACAACAAATAATGACATTAAAATATTTCAACTACATTGTCTCTTGTAACCTACCACAAATAATGCCATTAAACTGTTTAAACTACATTATGTCTCTTATAACCTACAACAAATAATGACATTAATACATTTCAACTACATTGTCTCTTGTAACCTACCACAAATAATGCCATTAAACTGTTTAAACTACATTATGTCTCATATAACCTACCACAAATAATGACATTAAAATGTTTAAAATACATTATGTCTCTTATAACCTACAAAAAATAGTATTAAAATGTTTCAACTACATTGTCTCTTATAACCTACAACAATTAATGCCATTAAAACGTTTCAACTACATTGTCTCTTATAACCTAAAACAAGTAATGCCATTAAAACATTTCAACTACATTATGTCTCATATAACCTACAATGTAGTTGAAATGTATTAATGGCATTATTTGTGGTAGGTTATAACAGACAAAATGTAGTTGAAATGTTTTAATGTCATTATTTGTGGTAGGTTACAAGAGACAATGTAGTTGAAATGTTTTAATGGCATTATTTGTGGTAGGTTAAAATATTATAGTTATATTGTTTGTGTTAGACTTAGGTACATTGTTTGTGGTATAGTGAGAGAAGTAGTCTTGTTGAAATATTTTAATTACATTGTTTGTTTTAGACTAAGAGATGTAGTGTTGTTGAAACATTTTAATGTCATTATTTGTGGTAGGTTATAAGACACATAATGTAGTTGAAACGTTTTAATGTCATTTTTTGTAGGTTATAAGACACATAATGTAGTTGAAATGTATTAATGGCATTATTTGTGGTAGGTTATAAGACACATAATGTAGTTGAAATGTTTTAATGGCATTATTTGTGGTAGGTTACAAGAGACAATGTAGTTGAAATGTATTAATGGTATTATTTGTGGTAGGTTATAAGACCAACAGCACTACATCTCTAGGTATAACACAAATAATATAATTAAAATATTTCAACAGCACTACTTCTCTTAGTATACCACAAACAATGTAAATAAAAGTTTTCAACAACACTATGTTTCTTAGTCTAACACAAACAATATAACTATAATATTTCAACAGCACTACATCTCTAGGTATAACACAAATAATATAATTAAAATATTTGAACAGGACTACTTCTCTCACTATACCACAAACAATGTACGTAAGTCTAACACAAACAATATAACTATAATAATTCAACAGCACTACATCTCTAAGTATAACACAAATAATATAATTAAAATATTTCAACAGGACTACTTCTCTTGGTATAACACAAACAATTCTTGTAGACTACAGGCACAGCAAACAATGCTAATAACAGATTCACTTATATTCTATCTCATATAGCCTACTACACATTATAAATACAACTACACTATGTCTCTTAAATGCCAATACATCATTATGATGCACCAATTACCCTCCCATACCTCCACTCCAAAACCTGAAATAATTTCTTTCTTTTTCACTTTGTTAATGACGGCCCGATGCAAAGCTGACATTAACAATACTTCACCTACATTTTACTCATTATAACAAACCACGTGAATAGAATTACAATAACTAGTTTTAATGTAATCATTGTTCCTCTCGATCACATTTGTGACTGCCAAATATAATGGTAAAGGTGGCTTTTTTTAAAATTAAAATTTCATACCTGAATTATATAATTACGATTTTACTTTTGATTTATTTTCCATTTAGCTTGATAAACTTTGGTATTGCACACAAAATCTTGTTCACAGAAAAAGAAGTGTAGTTTAATTTCAATATTATTCTTTTCTTTTCAACTTGCAATAGGTACACTATTAAGTTTATGATGTATGTGTCTATTATCTAGCTAACCTTAGAAGAACCTATGTCAGGATGTAACTGGTACACTGTTAAGTTTATGATGTATGTGTCTATTATATGACTAAACTTGGAAGCCATGTGAAAAACAACAGGTATACTATCAAACTTATGATGTATGTGTCTACTATATGACTAAATTTGGAAGCCATGTGAAAACACAACAGCTATACTATTAAATTTATGATGCATGTGTCTAGTATCTGGTTAAACTTAGTCAGGATGTAACAGGTATGCTATTAAATTTATGATGTGTTTATGTTTAAATAGTCTGCTAACCTGCTGACACAAATCATCCACCCTGTTTAGGTCTCCAGAGCCACTCATTTTGTTCGGGGACATTCCTTGTCTTGGTGACGTCGTTTTACCTTTTTGTTTTGGAGCTGAGCAGAAACACAATACTAGTTACTGTTTCTTTCTCTTGGAATGGAATAAAATGATAAAACTATTACTTTTCTGTTTGCAGTAGAAAAAATCGTTATCAGTTTAAAAAAAGATATATAATGAAGACATTTAAATATAAATTAACCAGATATAAATTAACAGTTATACAGATACTTGAAAATACGACAAATTTACCTCATGTGACAAAGTGATGATCTTGTCTATCCAAGGTCCTGTTACTTTTACACTGAACACACAGAAAATCATGCTCAGATTAAAATTTATTTAAGAAAGTTCAAATAAGCAGCAACACACAAGTCAGATCATTGGTACAACTATTTTGATTCACTGTTATAACCTATATTCTTAAACAGGTTTTTTCATGTATTTAAATCATGTGGTTTTTTTAAATTACCAATTATCATTACAAGATAATATGCTTTAAAATAGTTTTATTAATTGATACAAAAGTTAGTGCAGCTGTAAAAATGCTGTAGGTGGGATAGATTTAAGAAACAAAAACCGGTTCTGTAAAAAAGCTAGCTTTCTTCTGCACTACCGACTTACCAGATCGTCCCAAGGGTCGGCCAATGCTGATGCCGTCCTTCCCCTTACCACTACCAACTGAAATTCCACCTCTTGCTTCCACAGGATCATATTCTCTTCCATCATAGTTTGCATCAAAGAACTTCTTAAACCACTGGAGAAATTCAAAGTTGTCTTGGAATCGTCCCTTAATGAGTTTATCAATTGGAATGATCTGTACAGACAATATTCATGAAGGATTATTATGAAGTAATGAAACCTACATATTAGACTGATTGATTGTTTGATTTGGATATTCATGCAAATCTACACAAGAGATAGCAGTAGCAGCCATACTTAATTGTGAAATGATACATTATAAGGAAGGTAACTAGTCAATGGCACCCATCACTAACTCTTGTGCTGTGATATACTATAAGGAAGGTAACTAGTCAATGGCACCCATCACTAACTCTTGGGTTGTGATATACTATAAGGAAGGTAACTAGTCAATGGCACCCATCACTAACTCTTGGGTTGTGATATACTATAAGGAAGGTAACTAGTCAATGGCACCCATCA